TTGTTAAGAGGAAAATTTTCCTTATATCATGTGATCAAGTTTTTTTGCTCTTGTGCAGTACTGTAGGTTGAGCCTAAGGCCTTCACGCTGAGCTACAAACCTAGCCCTTTTAAATTTTTTAAAATTTTGAGACAAGATATCTCTAAATCACCTATTTGCCCAGATGGGGTTTAAATTTGTGATAGTCTTGCCTTAGCCTTCTTGAGTAGTGGGATTATAGACATGCGCCACCATGCCCAACAGTCACTAAGGGCTTCTATAAGTTGATTCGCACAAGGTAAGGTACATTAGTATATGATACATACTACATTTTTTTTCTCTTTTAAGGAGGGAAAAACATCTCTCCATAAATAGTTTCTGACTACTACTGTTTAAGACAACATCAGCAGTCAATTTACCACCAGATAAAACTTAAGGCTTGACTGAAGATATTGTCTATTACTGAAACATCTTTAAGTCACTATTTTTCAGAGTAAAATGTGGGCATTCTGGCCTCCTCTGATGACACCTTTAGGGTATTCTTCCAAGGAAGGTGGCCCCTGATAACAGGAAAGGGCAAAGAGTTTTATTTTTATTTATTTATTTATTTATTTATTTTTATTTTTTTCGGGACCGGGGATTGAACTCAGGCCCTTGTGCTTGCCAGGGAAGCGCTTATTCCACTGAGCCATCTCCCCGGCCCTAGGGCAAAGAGTTAATGTCTACTGAATAAAAAATTTTTTAAAAAATATTTATTTATTTATTTTTACATTTATTTATTGTGTGTGTGTGTGTGTGTGTGTGTGTGTGTGGCCAGCTCAGCCCACCAGGGGGCGGGGCTGGCTGGCATGTGGTGCTGGGGGATCGAACCGTGGTTCCTGTGCTTTGCCAAGCTTGTTCCAAGTAGGTGCTTTAGACCACTGAGCCATCTCTCCAGCCCTCTATTGAATAAAAATTAACATTTATAAAATATTTTCTAATTTATTAAGCATTTTGACCTTATTTTATTTCATCTTCCAACAATCTGTGAGGCAGGGAGTCTATGCTATTCTTCTGTTTCATAGATAAGAAACTTAAGGCTCAAAAAAAACTAAATGAATTGCCAGTAATTACAAACAATGTCCAAGTTCAGAACTGGAGCCCAGATACAATTTCAGTGCCTTTTCTTGCACAGCTCACTGAAAAGGTGAAAGTGACACAAGAAGGAGATATTAAAAATGCATCTTTGATAGTTAAAGTTAATAGCCCATTTCTTTTTAATCAGAGTTGGCATTATCGGGAGGGATTACTACCTGATTGCATTACCTTACCTTTTCTGAAAAGAGGAAATTCCAGTTTCTCCCAAAGTCCTTTTACCATCAGAAGATTCTACCATGTCTGCCTTCAGAATATTAGTCTGATGGCATGCAATCTTAAACCAGATTCTCCGAGCACTGTAGTGTGAACTCCTTAATCCATCTCTCAGCTTTCTTTCCCCAGTGGATTCCTTATGGGCTTAAATAATTCACTGCCTAACCCATATTGGGTGGTTTTCGAGAGTAGTGGTAGGCCATTCGCTAGAACTGTTGAGAAGGGTTATGTGTCCCATAACTAATTTAACTAGCCTGGCTAACTGTGCAGAGTGATGACTTTCCATATCCCTGAAAAAATGTCTGCCATTAGCACCCATCTGACCACAGTGCGGGGATTCCTGTGCGACCATGGATCGTTACGTACACAGGGACTGCACTGAGACATGTAATTTCATTGCTTTTATTAGCTGATTTGTAACTACGCTCAATTTATTTTATTATCCCCTGTATGTTTGGAAATTATTTTCTTTCCCTCAAATATAGAAAGGGAGAGGATAAACGACGGACTGAAGAACAATGAATTCTATAGACAATGAAAGACCTCCCAAAGAAGAAATTCGTGTTTGTGTGCTTCATCTTTTTCTTTTTTTTAAGTCTTGACTTGGTTTTCTGTATATAATTACTACACTATCTTAAACATCTTACTTCGTACTCTGTATTCTTTACTACTCATGCCAGCACTGGACATGATCTTAAGCTGGTTTTAAAATAGATGTATGGGTGTGAGAGTATAGTAGGGCCTGCCTAGCATGCCTAAGGCCCTGGGCTTGAGCCTGGAATGGGGTGAAAAAAAGTACTTATGAATCCAAAGAAGGGGAAAAAAGCATAACAACATTCACAAGGCACATTCTTTTCTCATGGCCTTCCTTAGCCAATTGCCCTAGGCAGTAAATTGTATGCTAAAATAACCAGTTTATTATTTGCTATTTTCTTTCACTGCTGAGGAAAAGCTACACACACTGCAAGCAAACTGACAGAAAATTTTAAAATGGAACCTACTATATTGTATGCATGTTTGGGGAAGCTGCACAGCACATAACATGTGCTCTACATTTCCCTTTAAATATATTTCTACCTGCTATCAACAGGAATGTAACAAATGAGCTTTTTAAAGATGGAAAAGCACAGATACCCCAAGAAAAACAAGAGGTAATTCTTGCTTTCCTCTTCCCCTGAAAATATAAACAAACCATCCCCTAACAGCTAACGAAAAAAACTTTTATTTTTTTTAAGGGAAAAGTAGATTTTTAAAATAATCCTAAAATTTAGCGGGCCATGGTGGCTAATGTTTTTAATCCCAACACTTGGGAGGTGAGGCCAGCCTGGACTACATCATAGCAAGACCCTACCTCAAAAACACCAGGGGGAAAAATTACTAAATTCACTTTTTAGAGCTTGTACTTGGCTAATACTTTCCACACTGAGGTACTTAGAAAATATTCAGATGAAAAATAAATAAACCTGATTTTCCTGGAAGCTTCCTTTTTTGTCTCACCTATGATTTTATTTTTAAACTTTATTTCTGGCCTCAACTTCCTCAACTGTACCATTTTCATTCACAGCATAAGACAGCTCTGTTATTCTTAGGACAACATACTGTATGTAATGGTAGCTGCTTGGAGTTGGCAATCAGATCGTGAATAATAACATATGTAGCTTGGATTACATAAACACCACAGGAAGGAGGGCAGACAGGGCCCTTCTGTGTACAAATTTCAGATTGCTAGCTGTATGCCTGTTTAGAATGTTAAGCGCTCCTCAACTGGCAGTGATGAGCTTCTTTCATGATTGTGACTTCTGAGACTACACAGACAAAACTTTTCCAAATGAAAGTAAAGATGATGGTGGAAATGAACACACTGAGGCAAATTTGTACTTGATACTTGGGAGCTTTGAGAGTAAAGGGGGAAAAGGCAGAGTTTAACTAAGCAATTTTTACCATTTGAAAATATATCTGAGAAGAGCCAAGGAGAAGAATGTAATGCAAATTGTAAATGTCATCCATCACCTATTTTGTTGTTCATTACAGAAGTCTGAAGTAGGAAACTGTGCCAGTTCATTTTTTTTTTTTTTTTTTTTTAGGACTGTTTCTCTTATATCTAAGTATTTCAGAGTAGACCACGTTGAAGTCTTTGTCTTTTGTTTGGGTCATTCTTTTTTCATTATAGTTGCTGTCTGACTTTGTCGTCTCATGTGGAAAGACTGGTAACTTTAACATACTTGATTCAAGAGAAGTTAATTAAATAAAACATAACCATATTTTTTAGCTGTGAGATGTTTCGGAGTGGAGAAGGAAATCAATAGCTTTCTTGGCTTACCAAGTTTGTATTTTACTTTAAATATTTATAGTCTGCTTTGTTTCAGGAAGACCTCAGGCTGCTGATATGTTTACTGCTCAAATATCAGCATAGCAATGAGCAGGCTTTTGAAACGAGGGGTGAAAAATGCAGCATATTTCAGTAATCTTTTATTTATTATAGAGCGACTGTGTGGCACGTAGTTTCCCATCTTTTTCACAAGAACTGTCAATGTGGACACCATGCCTGCTGGTACCTTTATATTGGGAAGCTCTGCGTGAGGTTGAAGTTTTTACGGGCAAACTGGTTAAAACACAGTTGTCTTTAAAGGCTGGCTTGCCACAGCAAGGTTAAGGGCTGCCAATAAATCCATTTATAGTAACTTCTGTATTCTGTGCTCCAGGCACACTGGTGGGGCGACCCGTGCACGGTTCCTGCGGAGCACGCGAGGCCACAGCGTTTCCAGTCCACCCTTCCCAAAGGGAGTAGGGCATGGATCTGGCGATACCCCTTCTCCCCCAAACCGGGAGCCTGGGCTCCCGGAAGGATCTGGAGAACCCAGGACTCCTGAATCCCTAAACCATACGCTAGATATTCCTCTACTGTGGAATAACAAAACATTTTGGAAACTCGCAGTTTAATTTACTGCCACTGACCAACATAATAATAGCATCTTTGTCCGCTGTCCCCCTACTGGCCCCCCTCCATCCGCCGACAGGAGCGCGACGCCGGCCTCCGTGGACGTGGCCCAGAGTGCACCGCCAACCGAGAGGTCGCAGGAGGCTTCAGACCGGGCCCCTGAGACGCCGGCCACCTTCGGAGAAGAGAAAGGCGCAGCGGGTATGATGCCTTCTTACACTTTCCATCTCCCTTAGCTCATTTTTTGGTCCCAGAAATTGTGTTTGTGTCTCTGTGTGTACACAGTTAAGTGAGGGAGAGAAAATCGAAGAAAGCCACCCGAGCCACCCCAAAAGCATCCACAGCAACTTCTGGAAGGTAATTGCTCCCATATGTCCTCGGCCGGTTTCAAAAAGCAATGGGTCACTGTATTGAGTTTAAAGAGGCTGCAAAACGGGCGCTCACCCAGCTCGTAGTCCCTAGGGGCCAGACGCGGCCCCAGGCACCGGCCCCTCCGGGGAAGCTCAAGCCGCGCCCGCCGGGCCGCGGGAGGAGGAGCCCGGAGCGCCGCGCCAGCCCCGCGGGTCCCCGGCTCAGCCGCCGGGCGGGGAGGGGCGCGGGAGGCGCGGCCCGGCGGGCGGGCGCGCGAGAGGAAGGTGCCTTCGGGAACACGCGCGAGGGCGGGGACTCGCGCTGCCAATGAGGCCCCGGAGTGGGCCGAGCGAGGCGGGGGACGGGCCGGAGCGCAGCCCTCCTGTGGCAGCTGCGGGCGCCGAGCTGGGAAGCCGGAGGGGACGCAGCCGCGCAGCGCCGACGAGCCGGCCGCGCCCCGAGGCCCGGCCCTGGGGGTGGGGAGCCGCCCGGAGAGCTGGAAACTTTCCCGGCAGGTGAGTCCCGCTGCCCGGGCGCTGCCGCGGGCCTCCGTGCGTGCCGGGAAGGGCCGGCTGCCGGGGCACTGAGTGCAGAGGGTCCGGGGGAGGAGGAGAGGTGAGGTGGGCTGTGGAAGGAGTGTGGGAAAGTTCCTGGGGCGCCCCCTCCTCCGCCCGGCACACCCGAGAGCTTTCCAGGGATAGGCACAGACATGTTGGGCGCCCCGGGCCTTCGTCTCGCAGCCTCTGGGGAGTCCGCGCCTTCCCTGCGCGGTTTCCTGCGCGCTGGCCGCGGTGGAGCTGGGGAGGGGGGAGCCGGGAACACGCGGGCGCGCGCGGGTTTCGGGACCTCCGCCCCGCGGCCGGCCTGCCGGTCTCTTTCCCTCCTGCTTTGAACCCCCGGCTCGGCGGGGCCCAGGGCTGCGCCCGGTGCCCGGGCGTGGGAGGGGGCGCGGCGCGCCTGGCACCTCGGGGTCCGGAGTGTCTGGGTGCGCGCGTCCCGAACTTAGCGAACTTAAACCAGGGGAGTCCGATTGCCCCCCTCTGGGCTCAAAGTCTGTTCTTCGCGTCCTAGAACGCTGCGATTCGCGTATCCCTGCTGTTTTCTTTCGTGGGGGTGGGGTCAGTTAGAATTAGGTTTGGAGGGATTTTAAATGGGTGTGACTGAGAAAGACGCTGTGGCGAGACTGTGAGACCCTTGTCGTTGGATGCAGAGCGGTCACTTTGGGGGAAGGCATCAGGACGCAGGTCCTTCCTGGAGGAGTTCGGGCGCGGAGCGCAGCGCAGGGGTGTGGGGGACTCCCCGCTTTGGCGCAGCGGCTTTCCGGAACGGCTGGCCGGGAAGGAAGTCCTAGGCATTGTGAGGGTGTTTGCCGATGGGAAGCTCTGTGGACTGAGATTCTTAAAACTTACTTGGCTTATTGTGCACGGCTCCAGCCGGAAACGCAGTGGGGACCAGGTAGAGCGCGGGCGCCGCCGCCTAGGGGTGGAGGTCGCCGCCCGGCGACAGCCCCTGTTGTCCCAGCCTTCTAGATCCCTGTGCTGCCAGAGGTGGGACTTGTCTCAGGAGTGCTGTGCCCTGCAGAGTCAGCTCTGGGAAGTGAGGAGGGCACCTTCATCTTGAACTTGACCCTAGGGGTGGCGCCGTCCCAGTGAGGTACGCGGTAAAGGAAAGCTGAATCTTAAACGTGACATGGACTCAAATTGGCTCCTCATTCTGAGCCTTTGAGGAAAGGGCTCAGGACGACCGAGGTCACTAACTGGAAATGCCAGACGCACCAGACTGAAGAAGTTAAATGTGTTTGGAGGGGGAGGAGTGGGAGAGGGAAGGAGAAACCTGGTTAGTTGGCACAGAGGGCTGGTGTTTCTGTAGTTGGAGTGAGCCGGAGTCGGCCTCTCTGCTTCATCAGATCCGCTACCCTTTCTCGTTTTCCTTCCTGGGTCATCTTTATTCCTGCCAGGCTGGCAGTCCTGGGACGGGGGAGGGGAAGGAGAAGAGAGCAGTTGGGAAGCTTCTGTGGCCAGTCTAGAGGTATTTCAGATCTGCTGCTAGGAAGATTCCTGGATTTTAACAGCTGCTTCTTGATTGCTGGGAATGAAGGAATTTATGAGCGGCTGTGAGGTGTTCATTATGGTACTTCGAATGTTTTCCTCATCTAAGCTACTTAAAGATTTCACAGGGGACTTTCCCTCCAGTGTGCCAGATTCTCCAAAGTTTCTACAAGCCAGAACGTTTGGTGGGTGTCAATCAAAATGCATCATAAGTATATCCTTGTGGTTTTAAAATGAAAAGTATGCAGGAATAAAGGAGGATGTCTGACATCTTCAGGACTGCTTCCTAAGTTGTTCTGTTGCCTGCCAAACAAACAGCTCAGCTTTTCAACTGTTGTAATATTAAGGGATGGGAGTGGCCGGGAGATGATTCAGTAGAATAAGCACTTCCCTGGTAAGCACGAGGGCCTGAGTTCAATCCCTGGTTCCCGCCAAAAAAAAAAAAAAAAAAAAAAAAAAAAAGGATGGGAAATAGTGTCATCATTTTTTAATGGAGGCAGGAAAGGCCAGAAATAAATTTGAGGTCACTTTCCATGACCCTGTCTTGCAGTTCTTGTGCTATAACTTTTGTTGGAACTTGGAAGCATTGGACTTCCTGCTTTCTTGGTTTAACCACCAAAACGTCTAAATTATCATAATTCATGTTCATGGTAGAGCTAAAACATAACTGATTTGTAGTCAGCCCTTTTCTGCTTCCCATAACAGCCAAAAGAACATTCTGTCTCTTCAACCACACACAATTTATTTGCTGCCATAGTGGGTTTTTGATACTAGGTGATTGAGGGCACATTTATAGAGACAATGGAATTGTCTTGATTAAATTGTCCGTTTTTAGGCAACCTCTCTTCTGTGTTGCTGATTAATTCTTTATCTCTCAGAGAACATTAAAAACAGTATCCCTGGGCTAGTAGAGCTTTAATCCATATTACAATGAGTACTGCCGGCATAGCTGGAGGTTAATTTTATGTTGATGTTTCCACTAGACATTTCTAACTCAATTGTAAGGATTTTGTTGCTGTTAGATTGGAAGTAGGGTTGAGAACCCCATAACTAGATAGATGAATTTCTTTTTATTTTTTTGTGATGGAATGTTTGGAAGTTTGGTTTAATTCATATATTTCTAGAATTAAATTTAAGAAGGAAAATAAAGCAGGGCAAATATACGTATGTATTTCTGTTAGTGTGTAGAATAGCTTTGTTCTCAAATATCTTAAATTTTTCTCTTATTAATGTCTATTAATTTTTTCAAAATATTGGGTTTTAATGCATATGTTTTGATCCTATCCAGCCCCCCTGTTACCTTTCCTTGCAGTCCTTTCTCCCTTATTTCCTTCCTCTTATCTAATAATAGTCTCCCTGCTATATTTATCTCATCATTTTTAGATTCCACATATTAGGGAGAACATGTGATGTTTGTTTTTCTGTGCTGTCTTGGAAATGCATATGTCATTGCATGCATCTCCACCTCAGAAAAGTGTTTGCTCTACAGGAATCTTATGCCTTTCTGGGTCTTGATGTTTTCCCCTTTGTCATACTTGACATGCAAGTACCTTGTCATCCTAAAGTTCTATGACTCTCCCAGAGTTTGAAAATGTAGGGTTTGTAAACGACCTTGTTATTTATTGTCAATGAACACTCTGTCGAGTAAACCAGGGCCTAGGAAGTTAGATCTGTTTGCCTCAATGTCATTTGTGGGACAGAACTTGTATCTGGGTCTTCTGACTGCCTCCTCCCTTTCCCATACCTCTTTTTATTTATGGAAGTAACCTGTGAATTGGCTAAAATCTGACAGACTAATGTTAATATATGACAGTTTCTCACAGTATTTCATTTATGAGTTATTTTGGTTTCACCTAAGGTTAACATCTGTGCTTTGATGGTGTGGATGAAAAACAGTTCACTAATAACGGTAACGAAACTTTCTCCCTAGGAGAGTTTCACAAAGTCACATACCTTCAATGATCATTTATTTATTTTCAACTTCTTTTTTTATTAAGTAGGTTTTAGTGACCAGTGTGATTTATAATCCAGCTGTGAAACCCAGACAGCATTCTTAAGGAAATTACCTCTCAAATCTACATATCTCTTTTTAAATATAAGAAATGAACATACCATCATCTTGGTATCTCAGTCTAATCACAAAGCCTGGATGTGAATATCACTTTTTTGGTGTCATCATTCTTGGGCTCTTCTTTCTTTTTTTCTTTCTTTTTTTTTTTTTTTTTGCGGTACCAGGGATCAAACTCTGGACCTTGTGCTTGCTAGGCAGGTGCTTAAGCTGCTGAGTTATCTCTCTGGCCCCTCTTGGGCTCTATCTGCTGATGACTGGTAAGTTGGATTTTACAGCATTTTCCATGCTGAGTGTTATCCTTTGTTTCCATTGTCTCTGAATGTTTGTACTCTGCCCTGCTGGCTTATTTGGCAGCCCCCACCAAGTGTAGGAAAGCACTGAATCTGGAAGCTGGTCTGATTTTTTTTTTTTTTTCCTTTCCTCCCCTCTTCTTGTATTTTTCCTTCTTTTTTTGGAACCAGGAATTGAACTCAGGTCCTTGCACTTGACAGGGAAGTGCTTATTCCACTGAGCCATCCCCCGGCCCCACCTTCTTATTTTTGGTTGTGCTGGAGGATCAAATACAGAGCCTCACAGATGTTAAGCATTTGCTCCACTACTGAGCAACATCCCCAATTGTCTAGATTTTCCTTAATGGGTTAAAAAATGAAATGATATGCTAAGCTACAGGTTCTTTTTTGTCTAAGCAACTTGTCTGATTAGCTTTTAAACTTGATTCTCAGAGGAATGCCTTTTCAAAATATTAAGCAGTGGGGTTTAAACCTCAAAAAGAGGATGTGTCAGACTGTGACAGACTATGAAGGATGTGTTTTAAATCTGAAATTACTGCTATTTCCTTGGAAGTGAGAGCAGAAGGGAATATCATGAAGCAGTATTTGCTAGTGAGGCAGGGAGATTATTGCCAGTTATCAGGGGAAAAAATTAGCAAAGAGGAAGAGTCGAATTTTTACCAAGGTAATGGATTTTTTTTTTTTTTTTTTTTTGTACTGGGAATTGAACTCAGGACATGGATTTTAAATGGTAAGACTTTCAGGAGACATCTCTTGTGGAGACTAAAAGGGATTTTTTCTGGTTTGGCTTGGCCATGTTGCTGATGGGATTGTACTTATAGGATAGGTGTTATCTTTAGGAGTTCTTGTGTATATGTAATTAAGGATAATGTTTTGGAAAGAGTCCCATAGGTAGAAATGTCACAGATAAGAGTGGTGTTAGAGGGCTGTGACATAGTCCCTGGATTTTAGCACAGATTTTGTCATTAAAATAAGGGATTTATTAGTAACGAATCTTGGGGGCCAGGGAGATGGCTCAGTAGAATAAGTGCTTCCCTGGCAAGCACAAGGGCCTGAGTTCAATGCCTGGTTCCACCAAAAAAACAAAAAACAAAACAAACAAACAA